CCTGGGATCGAGTCCCGCATCGGGCTCCCTGCTCAGCGGGGAGTCTGCTTCTCCCTCTCCCTCTGCTGCTCCCCCTGCTTGTGCTCTCTCTCTCTCTGACAAATAAATAAATATCTTTAAAAAAATAAACCAAAGTCATACATAGTGAATTTATAATTCTCACAAAGGTGATAAGATTAGTTGTTGTTGTTGTTGTTTTCCTGGTGTAATACATAAGTGGGGATCTTATAGCATAATATAAGTATTCACCATTCCTTGAATTACCTTACTTTATTTTCTCAAAACAAGACTGGGCCTTTTTATACTTTTATGTTATGAGTAAACACTTGGATTGATTCTTCCAAAAATGGTGGTTCAGTACATAACTGAATATAAATGGTTGATATGAATTAGACTTATTCCATTAGCCATACTTATTACAAATATTTATTTATGTAATGGTGTTTCAGTTTATAATGATTGGAAATCATAAAAGCATGTACTTTTCCTAATAGAAACCGGTAATAATTATGTATTTTTCTTTCTCCTTTCCTTCTCTTACTTCCCCTCTTCCCTCATCTTTTTTCCCCCCCAAGCTATTCCAGTTGAAACTGCCAGGCAAAACCCTAATGTTGCTTTGGTCCTTACTTCTTATGGAGGCCATATTGGTTTTCTGGAGGGAATCTGGCCAAGGCAGTCCACTTACATGGATCGAGTCTTCAAGCAGTTTGTGCAGGCCATGGTTGAGCATGGACATGAACTCTCAAGCATGTAGCTCTTCAGGTGCATTTTGTCTGAACCACCATATAAAGGCAGCTCAGCTTAGTGCACAAATCTTAACTACTGTATATAAAGCAGATACGCCAGCAGGTGGTGAAGAGGTCCAGAATGACATGCAAAAACTACTTTTTTGGGGAAACAAAACAACTTTGTAGCAAGAAATGAAATATAGATTTAAATTGTAACTTATGTAGATTTTATTTTTACTATGCCTTACCAAGTATGACCTTAAATAAAGTAGTCAAACATGGAATTGCACTTAACCAAAACTATTGTGTAAAAAAGATTTTAATTCCTCAGGGTTTTAATTTAGGCTGGTATTTTTTTAGATTACTCATTTTAGGTGACTTAATGGTACTTTAATAAACTGTTAAGAGACTTTGGTTATTTGAATGTAAGTTATAAGTTGGCACATTTCTAAGGGTATTTATACCTAATGATGATAATGTGAAAACTGAAATAAGATAAAATACAATGCGCTAAAATCTTTTATGTATTCTAACTTTAAAAGGCAAATGTGACAATGTTAGACTGAGGTCTATACATGCTCTTTTATTCTGATAATAATAAATTAAGGCTGATTTGTGTTTTATAATGATTATAGTTTACATGCTTATTTTTAAAATAGTATATGTGCATACATATATATCAATATATTAAAATAAATTCTATCATTTTAAATTGTTTCTTTGTCTTTATAAAAAGTAATCTCTAGAAATAATTTATGCTAACATCATGAATGCATTAGTAAATAATATTAAAATGTTTTGTTTCACTGTTCCCAGAAAATAGGGTTCACATCATTTGTACCAATTAAACATACTTTCAGTTCAGGAAACCTGTCTAAGAGTGACTTAGGAATTATGATATTTAATTATTTTGCATAATAAAAAATCTCCAGGCAGGTCAGGATGGGGGTAGGGGTTTCCAGTGTCATCAAAGACTCAGGCTTTTTCTGTTTCCATTCCACTTAGCAGGGTGGCTAGTTATCTCTTAGACACAGGTTGTCTGGGGCGTTTGAGTTCAGAAAAGGAAAAGGGGGAAAAGAGTGAGGCCAGACATATCTGATAGAAGACTTGCACTTATCTATCCATTGGCTGGAACTGTGTCACATGGCCACGGTGGTTGAGAAGGAGGCTGGGAAATCAAGCATGTCAACTTTTCCAGGTGTTGTGTGGGCAAGCAAGGGAAAGGGGATTGGCAATGATTGTTGGGCTAGCCAGCCCAGAGTGGTAGCTTCCATACCATTCAACCTCTTACCCCCCCCTTTTTTTTTTACTATTTCCACCTGTTTATAAAATATGTATATTTTTACCCAGGTATCACATTAAGAGAACCATGTACAAAAAAGCATATTAATACAAAATTGTTTACCAAAAATGCCACTTTTTGGAGAGTTCCTAATAATGTACTTGTAGACTTCCTTATAACTGTGTCTAGGATGATAGCACCGATAACATCAGAGCTTTCTTTGTGCAACATATATTCTAATTCAATAGTAATAATTACTTTTAGTCTGTATGGTTCATGTGGGGCTGATCCTGCCTTTCAGAGTTATCTTCTAAATTTTAAACAAATTGCATCAAGAAAACTGTCTACCCATTGGTCAGTGCTAGAAAGGGGGGGGTAGCGCTTACCTCCCTCTACATATAAAAATTCATTCCAGCTAGGTTAAAGAAAGAAACATTTTTTTACTCCATAAAAGCACTAGATGAAAACATGGGAGGTTATTTGTATAATTTTAGAATGGAGAGGTGCATCTGAAGCAAAATATAAAAATGAGAACCCACATAGAAAGAAGTGACAGATGTGATTACATAAACATGGAAACTTCAGTTCTACAAAACCACCATGAACAAAATTAGAATAAAAATGACAGAGAAAACCATTTGCAATATACAGTAGGTTAGTATCCCCCAAAGCTAAGAGCTCTTAAAAATTGGTAATGAAACACCTGATAGAAAAATGGGCAAGGATATACAAAGGACACTCACAGAATAATAGTCAATACAGCAACCCATTCAGGACCCCTCTCACTCGAGAGAGCTTTTTTTCTTTCTGTTCTTACCTTCACTTAATAAACTTTCACTTCACTTCAAAAAAAAATAGCCAATAAATTTATAAAAAGGTGGACAATCTCACTAGTAGTTTAGGAAATGCAAAATTTAAAAACAGAGAGATCTGTGACCATGAGATTACAAGTTTAATAACATATAGGACTAATAATATATAGTGTTGATGAAAGTATGGGGAAATAGTTATTCAATGGTGGGTAAGTTATGTAAATGAACAACTTTTTGGAAGGCAAAAAATTGACAGCATTAAAAGACAAGATCAAACATCTAGAAATCCCATTTTGAAGAATCTTTCCTATAGAACAGCCAGCAAGGGTGTATAAAGATACAAGTTTGTCATAGGTCAGACATTTAGGATAACCTGTTTAGTGAGAAATGAGTAAATTATGATATTCACACTTATATAACCATTAAAAAGAATGAGATAACACTGTGTGTACTTGTTTTTTTTTTTTTAAGATTTTATTTATTTGTCAGAGAGAGAGAGCACAAGCAGGGGGAGTGGCAGACAGAGGGAGAAGCAGGCTCCCCGCTGA